CTTTGCGACTTCCTTTACGAAGACCGACAAGCATCAGTGAATATATTGAACGCAAGTACAGACACATCCTAAAATACTGCAAGGATATASTACCGATGTTATAACATGCCACTTATTTTCAAAATTCTATATTTTTTGAAGTWAGAAGTGCCATTTTATCTTTCAGGGAAAGATGGACTGATRTTTAAAATTATTTTCAACCAATTTAATATCATTTTATCATCAACATACGATCCGCCAATAGTGCTATTTTAATTTCMGTAGTATTGTTTAGCTATGGAACATCCTCGGCATCGAAACCATAGGTTTCTSTCTCTAGGTCGTTTCTCGCAACCAGAAATAATGTTAGAAGGCATATAMATTCAGTTTTTATTTCTTGCATATCGTGGTCTATTTTTGCTTAATCATCGCATTTTTTTTACATTATCGCTCAGATATCTAAAAAGAACAATAATTGGATTTTGATATTGTTATTGTAGTCGATATGTGACGTGAGTTTAATTCCTTCTTATAATTTACCGCATTGGAAGTGRTATCGGTAAAGGCGCATTCCCATAAATGACAGGGGGCACACTAGAAAACTTATTAGTTAATTTAGCCTTCTGGCTCTATTTCTTTGCAAAAAATTTGGATATTTTTTTTATACTTATTTATCTTTTTTGTTACAAGCACCTTATTCTGTCAAATTAAAAGCAAAAAAGAGCAATAAAACAGTTTCAGTTTCATAACCCTTATGAGATAATAATTCTAGTAGGTCTATACTAATATGTTCTGTCTATTAAACAGCAGCGATAAAAATAATGAATTACTCACTATAAAATCAGAGAAAAAACTTATAAAATTTTACGACATTCGACCTTCAAAGACTAAGAGAAAAGGTAAAGCACTCGATATTTTGAATGAGTCAGTGAACTAAAAAAAATCTATTTTAAACGTTTTATTTTGGCTACCAAAAATATGTCTTTTCAAATTTTTTTATTTCAAAGTTTCTTTTTATTAAAGTGCCGTTACTACATAATAAATTGAATAAGTAAAAAGAGCTCTTTCTTAATAAAAATAAAATTAGAATACCATTGGATTTGATTCTAGTTGTAATATAGAATTATTGGTAATAAAATATCAATAATTTAGTATTAGCAATAATATTTATAACACAGAATGCGGAAACCATTTCATGGTAGMATACCTGTAGTGCTGTAGCATACACATGAGTGGATTTTGTCGCATACTTAGAATAKCGCATATATTATAGCCACCACAAAAGGGAACACCATTAATTCTCGCGCTGAAGCACTATATCACTATTACGTACAATTAGTCAGCACTGAAATGGTATAGGGAAATATTAACGCTGTAATTGTACTACTCTCGACCAATGAAAAAATAATGTTTTGTTGAATGTACTATAACAAAACTGATAAAACTTAGTAAACTTCAGAACTACGGTGTGCGCAATTGTGAATTTGTAAAAAGGTGGAAATAGCTGTTAGTACTAAAATGAAGACGCTCAGAAAATTTTCAAGGAATACCCAGGAAAAATGCAAGCGTATTTTTTTACTTTTTTATTCTATTATTATTGTAAAATAATTCAGCCTTATAATGGCGGAAGGGTTATTAAATTCAAGCTATCTATCAATCTATCTGTCCTAAAGGACCGGTTTTTAAAGCTTTTTCCTTAGAACTTTCTTGATTTACTCCTTTTGGAAACTGTTTKAACTGTTTTAACTTTTATCGTCCGTTTCTAAGAACACTTGCAGTTAGTATAGCTGCAATATCGTGTGAAAAACTAAAACTTAGTAATCATGGAATTTAATAATTGAGTAATCATAAAGTAACAACAATGGCTCAAAAGGATCGTTTTACGTCATTACATCTTCATGTATTTTGAAACAACATAAAACTAATTAAGAAATGAAATCTTGTTTACATTTAAGATGTGCTTTAACAAACCATCTGCGTCATATCAAAATTATTTGGGTATAAGTAGCAGATTTTGATTGATTGAAATTTCTTTTTCATGGATGTGAATATTATGTTGTACATTATTCATGTACAGACAAATCTCACCTTACSGAACCYCCGCTWTTACGGACCCCCCGACATTACGGACAGGAAATGAATCCCCTGCGAAAAATACTAAGAAATGACGAAATTGCATGATTCCCGTTATTACGGACTCTCCCTACTGCGGACACTAAAATACGCTTCCTAGGTTGTCCGTAATATTGTAAGACCACAGTAGCATGGTCGATTCTATGGCAGGGTTTTAGTGGGGATTATTTTATAAACTGCAGAGCGAAAGATTTGAATTTTTCCATCAATCATTGGTAACATAAATTCTTTCTGACATTCAATATCTCTCTATAAACAAGTCCTGGATCAACTCTTGACTTGCTTCAACTGAAACGGTCCTAAACGGTCTCACTATTTCACTATTTCAATAATTTTACAGACATTTCAAAAAAAAAAAGAAAGAAAAAAGAGATTTGATAAKAAAACTATGCGAACTTATTTGCGACCGAGTTTCTGTTGCGTAGCTAAAATTACCCTGGGGCGAATTTTGGCGAATCGACGCACGATATCCAAAATCTACATATTTTTAGAAACGACTGGAACAGCTTGGAAGACATTAAAATGACGAGTATTTTGGAAAAAGATCGGGCAAGTTGCTTGAGCTAACTTCCCTCGTTTCTTTTTATCTGATATTGTGAAAATAACATAGCAACTTAGACGAACAATAAAAATGTAATCGGGAATAATGTTCCGGTTACATACAAGAAAAAAGAAAGAGAAATCCGGAAACCTTCCTCCATRAAAGAAGMCTRTTTAACCATCGTTTTTCTGGGATTTTTCAAGCCAGGCAACACCGGAATGTATAAATGTTTTCGTGTTTTGTCACTCAACTGTAAAGCGTATTCGTGATTGTTTGATAATGGAAAATAAGATGAATTAATTTAGACGGCTTTATGAACAATGAAATATTTGTAAAGATTTTGCAATTGTCCATTTTGACATTAACATTATGTCACGTCAAAAAAAAAAGTTGAAAGAACTCTTTTACGGAGCTTTTGTTTAATTCATTGAGACATTGACTCTTTGTTTTTACGAATTGAAAGCCTCTTTTTTGCTTTTTTCTTGGCGAGAAACAAGTTACTGAAATTGCGCAAGGCTGTTTTTAATMTTTGGATATACAACCGCTTGCTTCATTACAACGTAAGCATTCATTTATAAGCTTGGCTTATTTCGCAAAGTAAATGTTGCGTCATGGCTAATTTATCCGTTATAATCGTCAGCTTACTAGTTTAATCATTGAATAATAATAATACGCAAGAAAACACTCGTTTCTTTACTCTTCCTGTTTCAGCGCACGTTCAGGGTTTGATGACTCAGCACCCCCTCCCCCCTGAGGAATTCAGTTTGACAGCTGATAAACAAAACCGGATATAATCCCAGAAAAAAAATAGCGAAACTCGCTGAAATACTTTGATTTCGATTAAACACAGATATTACATAGAAATAAATGCTGCAATTTTGCGAAAGACATTATTAGAATTCAAGTTSAACAACAATATCAAACGTGCGTTATGTKGCGACTTGTGAAAGAACTTTTTATGACAAAACTACAACGTTTAAATGAAATATTAATGACAAAAGWACTGTATAAAATATTTCTGTGAATAATAGACTTACCAAAGTATGAATTTCATGGCCTTGGCTTTCTGTGGAGTGAGAACCACGWGCGGTGTGAACWGCCACTTGGTACGAATAGGTACAWCGTTTACCTAACTCRAAMTCCAGCTGAAGRACTCGCTGATCTGGAATAACGGATGCTTTCGAAGTCCGAAATCCATTTATTGACAACAGAAAAATAATTGTACAAAACCAAGGCATTTTGCAGCCTAAAAAGTGCAGCCAGGAACTGCACTGTTGTGATGTGTCGGGTGCAACTGAGGTGAGCTGAACCAGTTCATCAGTCAAATTAAACCGGAAATGTAAATCAGCYTTTGTCAAATTCACGCTTAAACACATTTACGTGTGATGCGACCTAATTATACAACAATAGGAATGTCATGCGTTGGAGTTAGCGAGAGGCAGTGATTAAATTGTTGTTAAACCAAGCATTCATTTAAGCTTTTTGTGAGCTGCAGTAAGCAAGATTTTAGATATTTTTTGGTGTTGCATCTCCAAGGAGTCTATGCCACAGTACATGACTAAAGTTGCTACAGAACACGTAACGTATCGATTGCCGCTTGCCTAATAATACATTCTCATTGCCCAATTGACCGAAACACAACCCTGCATATATAGCAAGGTTAAAGGTAAGACCAACTAAGTTTGATAAATTTTGSTAACTTTAAGTCTTATTAGTAGGAMAAGTTTATATTTCTAGATAATTTCTAAGTTAATTTTTTACGTACAAACATTTCGCTGTTGTGATAGACCGATTAAGCTAGTTTAAATTATTTACGCTCCTTGGAATACTCAAAATTTACTAGTTTTTTCTTTGATTACCAAATCAGAGATTTCGCTTTGTTTTTTAAAGAGTGTTGGATGATTTTTCTTCTTATTTGCTCAATAAAATACTTCTTTGAAGTATGAATTCAATAGCTGTATGACTTGCAAGTAAATTGAGCAAGTGTCAGCATTTCAAGGGAGCTGTTCACAAGATTTTTCCGAAAGAGTGTTGATTTTGTGATGTTTTGTTGTATTCATTTCTCGACGTATTGAATGCAGCCCAGTCTAGTGAACCTCATCAGCTTTTTGAAAGCGAAATGCCATTATGTTGATAGTTACCAGACGTTTTATAATAATACGAATCATTAATTATGCAGTTCTTGAATTTCTATTAATTCAGTCCTAAATCGGCATTGAAAATGTATTCTCTATTGATAAGCCCAATTTTATCATGTTTCATATATGCAAGTCTAAAATAGATTTGCATATATGAAACAGGATAAAATAGACTTGCATATATGAAACAGGATAAAATTGGGCTTATCATTACAGAATACATTGTCAATTTTTAGAAAACCATTTTTCGCGAATTACAACTCCAATAAATTCCTCAAAGSACTACAAGAACTGTGAAAATGAAGGCATGAATTTCACAGGGGGTGTGTAAGGTGATTAACTAGAAAACATGAAATTCAGGTCTTCATGAACTTCTTAATTAATAAATCTTCCTAATTGAAGCCCTAAGTCCATCAAAGTTCCGGTATATAATCGTATATGTGTATGACTAAGCAATTTTTGTTAGGACACTTTTTGTCGCACGTAAAGCGCTTCACTAAGACGGGGGCTGAAACCGGGTGGAACGGCGCTCAACAGACCAAGTCCTGATATCGTCAAGAAACTTTAATGGCATCACGTATACATACAGGATATATATCGAAATTTCTCGAAATTCCAAAATTACTTCAAGTACGTTAATGCTACCGGTAGTGAAGCCAGTTCCTGTCCAACTAGGAGGTAGTTAGGACTGCGGAGGAGACCCGTTTTACATATTTTTTTTCTCAGTCAAAGATGATCAGTGTCTTTTTACTTTTTTTGCTTTGTTGTATGAMTTTTTCTTATTTTGCAGATTCGGCACTAGAATGTTCAGTTTAATACGAAAACTTTTTACGCTATTAATGCTGTTTGCGATCATACAACAATCTCAGCCATGGCGACGGAGACGCCGCCGCCGGGCACCACCRCCATGCCCTGCCAGGAATTGCCAAGTAGGCGGGTGGGGCGGTTGGTCAGCCTGCAACCATCGATGTGGGAATGCCGGGACACAGAGTAGAACRCGAGGAAARACTGTGCACGAGCAGTGCGGTGGACGTTGCCCTTATCATCTCAGAGAGACCCAAGGCTGTAACAGAAACGCATGTAGGAATGGTGGGCARCCGACTCATGGACGCTGTAAYTGCAAGACTGGATTTACAGGGACTTGTTGCGAGAATGGTTAGTACTGAAATCTAGCTAGTCTAGTACAAAATATGATAGGCTGACTCATTAGCATCTGACCAATCGGATTCGTGCAATACGATTTGATAGCTGTCACTATCAGCTAGTAGTCCACTTAACCTATTGTTACTCAATTATKTAACATTTAAACTCTTATAATTATTATTAATTGTATTTCAAAGGTTATGTCCTTGTCGTTGTCGAAATTGTAATTCCAATACTCCTAATGGCAGTCATTAATCGTCAATACAATAGCTTCTTTTGTCTATATGAGTAATGCGCCTTATTTGTCTAAATGAGTATTGCACCTTTTTGGGTTACCACACCTCATTAACGACTTCATCACTCCTCCTCTTTTTGTTTTTCCTTTCTCGTCACTAGTTCCTAACGGTCAATATGACCGTAACACCCGAAGAACCAAAAAGAGTTGCGAGGGGAGGGGGTAGTACTGTATGAGTAATGGCAATGAGTCGATGCACTCTATAGGTCATGCGTACAACATATATTGATGTCATTGTGCTGAAACAGAAACTGTTCTTAACTTTACAGTTATTTATAGAGTTCAGAAGCTTGGACACCATTTAATCACCTAAAAAACGATTTTTTCGCGGGGTTGGTAGAATGTTTTCAATCATTTCAATATTCCTCTATGGACTAGAAAGTGACATCGTCTAAAACGTTCATTTTATTTCTACTATAAATCCAAAAATCAAGTATATAATAGCTATAAATTTTAGCTAAGAACAAGTTCGATAAAATTGAGAGGTATGGACTTCAAAAGATTAAATTAACTGTAGCGATCCACGTAACTGTTAGATACATTTTGTTTCATGGCTGACCAAATCTCTTCACGACATCACACCACCATTGACCTTACTATATACATTTTATGTGAATATGTAGATATAAATTTTAGTTTAGGATGGGTTATATTAGATTAGATTTAAGGAGCTCTAAGATAGCTACATAATTGTTTTAACTTTACAAAGAATCCAACTTGTTTTGCACGTGAACGCGCAGGTATGTACGTGTGTATTTTTAGTTTCATATTGTTCGTAAACTGTACTTAAAAAAAAGCACGATAAATATTTGCACATCATCTAAGTTTCAGTGATTTTGACTAACATCCAAAACCTTAGATAAGATCGTTTTACTCAAAAAGTTTGGATTGTTTATAGTGTTTTTAGAGCTAAATTTTTAAGTCTGTTAACATGAGCAAGCATTTTGCTGTTTATTTGACTTATTTGACATTTGATATATTTGACAACGTTGTTCAACAATATTAGCACCGATTTTTCTGCATCGATTACAAAATCATGTCAAAATGAGTTTTCAAAAATTCTTTTTTCACCAATCCAAACCTACAGAGCAATAGGAATATAGAATTTCTACACTAAAAAATCGTGATAATATTTCGTGAAATAAGAAATCATGGATAAATGCATATGAACATTGGCATTCCGACGATTCACTTGATAGGCCATGCATTTCGCATAAATTAACGGTGCGCTAAAACAGGAACTCATTTTAACGTCCTATATGGCCAGATTTTAGTACCCCTGATACATATAGCCTCTTGGCTTCAAAAACCACAATTCAAAAGACGACTTTTTTCATTTGTTTAGTGTTTCGCTGGTTCTTACCACATTGATACAAAAAATTGTTTTCACGCAAATTATAAGTTGCTGCGGCAATTGTTCATCATCTTTGCATCAACACATGTTCATTTAATATGGCATTCTTCATACGACAAGTTGTCGTATTGTTCCTTATTTCTCTCGTCCTCCATGAATCGAATTCATTTTTCTGGAGAAGAAGACGCAGACGGCGATCGCCTCCTCMTTGCCCTGCACGAAATTGTCAAGTTGGTTCGTGGTCGAGCTGGTCTTCGTGTTCTCATCAGTGTGGAAATGCAGGAACTCAGAGCAGATCAAGAAGCAAGACAGTAGGCGAACAATGTGGCGGCAGATGCCCTTACTCTCTTAGTGAGTCGAGAGTTTGTAATAGAGATGCTTGTAGGAATGGAGGGTCTCCATCTCACGGTCATTGCAGGTGTAGGACTGGGTTTGGAGGAACTTGCTGCGAAAGTGGTAAGAATTCTTACTGGACTGCTTTTCAAAATAAAACTATTATCTAATTCGCAAACATATGGATATATATTTGTAAAACATAGTTATGATAGATATTATTGAAATAGTTTTAAAAAGCAACATTACATCATTAGAAAAAAGGAGTACTTATATGGAAGTTATTTTGAAAATGCATGGGTTTCAATTCTGAAAATGCTCTCTAAGCTCTTGTTCTTACAATATACAATTAATGACCACTTAAAGTTGCTATCCAGCCTGTTTATCTTTCGTGCTCGTTTTTGTTCCAGCTCGTTTTTGTTCGCACTCTCAGTGTCGAACCAAATGCTACTGTAATAATCTTTTGCAGGTGCCTTTGGGAAAATATACAACTTTGTACAGCATTGAAGAGGTTGAACTAAAAACTAAACACTGATTCACCTTCATGAAGGAATCGTTGAAAACATCAAAAACAAGAGTTGGGAGATTCGTGTAATTTCTTTCTTTCTTTCTTTTTTCCCTTTTTTAAAAAATTCAAATAAAAAAATTCAAATCATACAACAATATCATTCAAAATTTCAAGATATAAAGAGGGCAGGGGAAATCAACCTATAGTTAAGATTTACTCCGTAAATATATTACCATCATTCAAATTTCATTCATATATTCGATTGCCAACAAAGCATTGTTTTACCGATCGAAAATTTGACCTAGATAGTTCTGAGTGAAATAAAAGAATGCAAATGTTATTTTTCAATACGAACACAAGCTTGCAAGATGGGGTGATTATGACGTGCAAACAAAGATCAATTTACCAGACATTTCCCTGCAATTTCCGCTGTCGATAACTGACATCTTTACTAAAAATATCTGGTGCCTGTCACTTGCCTAAACATAAATAAAAGTTAGAAAAGCTTTGGCAAGTTGTCCTCTTTGCCTCAGACTTGTAATGGGGTGCTTTGTACGGCAAATCGTTGTCTTGTTCCTTCTTTCTCTGATACTCCAAGAATCCAATTCAATTTTCTGGAGACGAAGACGCAGACGTAGATCTCCGCCCAAACCGAAACCATGCGCACCTCAAAACTGTCAAGTTAGTTCATGGTCGAGCTGGTCATCTTGCTCGCATAGATGTGGAAATGCTGGAATGCAGACAAGAACGCGGTCGAAAACAGTGCACGAGAAGTGTGGTGGGAGATGCCCTTATGGATTTTCACAAAGTCAAACTTGCAATAGAAATGCTTGTAGTAACGGAGGTGCACCAGCTAACGGTTACTGCCGATGCAAAACAGGTTTCACTGGAACATGCTGTGAATACGGTAAATTATTGAACTAATGAAGAGGCAAGAAAAGGCAGAAASCGAAAGCTCGCATTTTGAATGCAAACAGTGTTATCAAATATCTCTAAAAATTCCCTAAAGTTAGAAAATTAATAAAAACAGTATTCTGACACACATGAACTTTAAGTAGACATGTTTTATTATCTTAATCGATGTTTGATTTGACAATAAACAGCTAGGTTAGGTTTCATTTGGGTAATTATATTTCTTTTTCGACCTTTTAGGCTATGTTTTGAAAAGGCATACTTCAAAAGAAGCAATTTAGAACGTGCTTGGACACATAAGAGAAAAGACTCGGCAAACGTTTTTAATCAGTGTTTATATCATGTGCAATCAAAGGATTTTATKTATTTCTAGATAATTTTAATATATTTCCATCCTTTACTCGGACAAAATCAGATAAATTAGTAAAACGGGTTTTTTACGGCGATGTAAACATTTTTACCAGCTAATATATTCACCAGCAAAACAGAATGAAAACTGAGAATAATTAATAATGCTAATCCCATCATTTCCAACTGTCTGATAAACATCATTAAGTAGCAATTAAAGTCTGCAGTCTATTTCAARGATTATTTGATGAATTTTACAAAGTGTTCCGACTTAAATGGAATACACAATTACACAAAGCTTTAATGAACAGAAATAAATCCGTACATTTGTCTTGTAGCAAAGTACTTTTTAAACCTTAGACAAATCGAAATAAAATATTGCAATAAAAAAGCAATAAGTAAAACTTTAATTTAAAAAAATGTTAGTTTTTTTATGGAAATAGCACTTGCACCTTGAAATGTTTTTATTAAATTATAATTTGCGATATTCTGCAAAATGAAAGTAGTTTGATTCGGCCATATATTCAAAATATCGGCGCATAAAGAAATCGAAAAGAAGTTGAGTGCTTCAACAAGCTCTTCAGCTGACAAAGAGTCACTTAATGTCTGAACACAGTGAAAGGGGAAGTCTAGAAAAATGCATCATTATTCAAGTTGAGACAAAGAGATGTAATATCAAATTACATGAACATTCATCCAAGAGGAAAAATTCATATACTTTATGGCGTCTCGAATTTAGATCAATAAAAAAACAATGTCAACGTTGATGCCAGGACTTTTTCTCAAAACAAATGGAAAGGACCTACAATYGTAGAAACAAAGACAAAAAACTGCTACGAGAAGAGTGCAAAACCCCGGGGTGGGGGGAGGGAGGGCGGGAATCCGGGGTAAAACTATCGGGGATGCTCGTAAGAAATWTTAAAAAGACCCCTAAAAGATTCCGGAAGTCTTGACTGCTGCTGTTTTAGTGAGTTTAAGTTATTTTAAGGGGGTTAATTTGCCACTCACCTTTCACTCACTTTACTGTAAACTAGGCATATCTATACCTATATATACATCGAGTTCTACTGTCTAGCTCGCGAAATTATACGAAGAAATTCTTACTCCTGGCCCCCACCTATCAATTCTACACACCTTTTTACACCATATTACTTTATCCATGATTCTACCACAATTCATTCTTAGATGTGAATAAATGCGTGACATCAMAATTCTTTTTTAGATGTGAACGAGTGCGTGACATCACAATTCTTTTTTAAGATGTGAACGAGTGCGTGACATCACAATTCTTTTTTTAGATGTGAACGAGTGCGTAACAATACGACCGTGCCAACACAAGTGTACCAATACCTATGGTAGCTACACCTGCCAGTGCAATCCATGTTACACTAAACTAGGAACAAAATGCGAGCTAAGACAGTGCCTTATTGGTGGAAAATGCTACAGTTATGGTACCGTTAACCCCTCAAACCAGTGCCAGGTAATCACGGATTAAGTCGAAAACAAATTTGTAGAGCATTCGATATAGCAAAATAAAATCTACAATAAACGATGAATTTCAATTCGAATTAGTTAAACAAAGGAAATTGGCTAAATTACTTTTAATACACCAATCAAACTTATATTTTGAATTTATCTAATAATCAGCTAACGGCGTTGCTATGTACGTTACCACCCAATTCAAATCCTGTAGGAAAGAGAACTTTTGTTTCTAAGAATTCAACTGTGAAATGAAAA